TCCATTTTTGTCCGCGCCTTTTCGATATTCATGTATTCTTTTGCATAAGTATGACACTTTCATATAATATACTCACCCCTCATGTGACACTGTACGTTATCGAGTGTTGTACAATTTTTTTGCTACTTACAGTTAACGTTAACTACACATCACTTCAGTGTCACTTTCGAAAACAGACATTTTTTAAATGTGCTATTTTCTACAAGGGAGTAGTGTCAGTCATTATTTTAAGCCCATATATCTTATTCTAGCTTTCGGACATTCCATTTCTATTCATTCTATTTGAATCATATTTTGACCTTGTCAATTATTTGCTTAACAGTCTTGACTGTTTTTATATGAGCGTATATGTGTGTACACTTCATATCCCATGACTCATCACATGTCTGTAGTTTATTTTTGTCTGACTATAAATATTGAGTAACGCTTGACTAAAATGGAGTTGGCTTCCCAGCCATCTTCCATACGTGTCATTTTGCTTTGCTCTGTTTCATTCGCTTCACATACAAAATATATGTATTCAAAATCCCCCCCCAAAAAAGGGCCCTAATACACTCTGTCTACTACTTCAAGTCATTTAAACTAGTACTTAAAGTGTAACTAATCCTGTTCAACCTAAGACATTAAATAGCATGCAACAACTTATCCTCTAAACTCTAAGCTAATCGTTTCGTATTTTACCAGTGGAAATTAATGTTTTGAAGAAGTGCTTTACTAGAGTAATAAGTTTTTAAAATCTTCATTTGGTTTCTACTGCGTTTCTTTTAAGTAACTTGTTAGTTTAACAAATAAATAAAACCCAGTCAAACTTCTCATATCATCACGTTAAATTCAATAAAAAAGTAGTCACTGACTAAATTTTAGCGGCTTTTAGTTGAAGGTTTTATTTTTGATGAAAATTATCTATACAGGCGAAAATCTAGACAAAAATATAACAAGAAACTGTGTGGTTTTGTTCTTATTTGAAGGATTAATTATGGGTCTTTTGTTTATGTACAATTTCATAGTTATATGAAGGTATATATCCATGTTTACCTATTACATCAATTAGCCATACATTAATTCATAAAGCGATTGGTTGCCATTCAATGTAATATACCACGTACAACTTACACTTTCCATAGCATCCATATTTTATAAATATTGTCTACTGAATCATTTTGTTTAAAATATATCTATTACAACATTTTAATTTAGACTTTAAATATCGTTTAGTCATCTGAATATGTTACATAACAGTGTCAGTCTTGGATAAATACGAAAACAATTAGAATTAAGTACTACCGGTTTCTCCCCTATTTCAGAATTGGTACATTAACCCACTGATGATATTGATAACGCAACATCACCATGTGTAATTTGGAAAATGTGAACTATTAAATTTAAATTCGATGACTACAAGATATTATGTTCGATGCAAGTTTTGAATATTCTGGCTGTGGAACTTTATCGGGGTTAAATGTATGCTGACATTTAGATGTTGAGTAAGGACTGGATGGTTATCGTTTAGTTTTTCAATGGTACTTCTGATGATATGGTGTACTAAATAAATTATACAAATCTGAGAGTCATTAAAATGTTTGCCACTAAGTCCCTGGGTAATTTGAAATTGTAATTGAAACTGATAAAACTACATGTTGAAAAACGTTTTCTCAGTTGGATACCGAATTAGGATTTCAGTCTATGATCTCCGCTTGTAGCTCTTCTAGGGTTACTGTCGATCCTAAGCCCACACAAAGCAGGATGATCGGGGATTGGGTCAGCAACCCCATTCAGTAGAAAATAATCTTGTTAACAAAAACGTTAATCAGAATAAACAAATTAAATCATTTAAACTTTGTCCTCTGAGTTGAGGTAATAATTATGATGCCTCATGGTGAAAGCCGGAATTCTTCGAAAATCGTGAGCGCGATGTCCCTCTAACGACCAGAGAAACGATTAATTTATGTTCATGGAATTTCGGATAATGTAGAAATCTGGGAGGATCGATCAAATAGCTGAGGAAATGGGGAACCAGAAGAGGATAGATTCCAGAGAGATGCTGCTGTACTCTGGTTCTGATGAAGAAAACTCTCCAAACACTCAGGGAGTTTCTCTGATGCTGTCCAAAGAAGTACGTAACGCACTTATTGGGTGTGAATCTCATGGACCTACGATCATCAAAGCATCATTCAAAACAAAGAAGGTGGGAATCACAATGAAGGTTAACTAACGTTATGCACCCACCAATAATAGCAACGACGACAATAAAGAATAGTTCTACGAGAGGCTGCAATCAATCTTGGAGAAGTACCCAGAAAAGAACCTGACCATCCTAATTGGAGATCAAAACACCGAAGTTGTAATAGACAACATCCGGTATGAAGACGTGGACTGACTGAAAGGAAGGAACGAGAATGGCGACAGATTCGCAAATTTATGTGCGTTCAACAAAATGGTTATAGACGGCACAATATTCCCACGCAAACGCATACACAAAGCTACATAAGTCTCACCAGATCACACTACACAGAACCAGAACGATCATATTTGCATTAATAGAAATTTCAGAAGGTTAATGGAAGACGCAGGAACCAGGAGAGGAACTGACATATCTTCAGATCACCACCTGGTAGTTTTCAAGATCAAACTGAGGCTGAAGATACAATGGACAACTGGCTAAACAGAACTACAGAGGTTCAATACAGCTTTTCTTCGGCATGCTGATAAATTCAACGAATTCATGATATGTCTCAACAAAATGTTTCAGGCCTTACAAGGCCTTACAGTTGAACAAGAACAGAGAAAATTAAGGCACAGGCTGAATTCACTGGAGCAAGCAAACAAGTTAAGAAAACATGAGAAATGATGAGCGGAAATTCAGAGAAACCTGTCAACGACAGCGAAAAATGCTGTAAGAGAAGGAAATATGGATCAAATGTGTAATATAACGAAGAAACTGGTAGGGAAATATCACAAACCAGAGAGGCCGGTTAAGAACAAAGAAAGCAACCCACTAAGTTAGATTTAAAAACAGAGGAAAAGATGAACATAACACGTTCGGGATTTGTTGAATAGGTCAGCTCCTTAGAATCAAGTTTGAGAAAGCAGTAGGACCTGACAATATACCAGCAGAAGCGTCAGAGTCAGACATAGAGGCAACTGCAAATATGCTCCAGGTTCTATTCAGGAAGATTTAGGAGAAAAAACATGTGCCGATGGATTGGCAAGAAAGATACTTCATCAAGAAACAAGAGAATAAAGATCTGCGAAAATGTGGGGACTACAAAAGGATTATACAACTATCAGTACCAGGAAAAGTCTTCAACAGAGTGTTGCTGGACCGGATAAAAGATTCAGTAGACGCCTAACTTCGAGATCAACAGACCAGACTCCGTAAGGATCGATCGTATATCGATCGAATCGCAACACAACTGATCAATGTTGAACAATTAATACAATGAAACTCGTCGCTGTACATCAACTTCCTTAATTATGGGAGAGCATTTGACATTGTGGATGGGAGGACATTATGGAATCTACTTCACCACGGGTGTATCTGAGAAGATTGTCAGCATCATCCAGAATTCATGTGACGGACTACGCTGCAAAGTGATATGTGGAGCACAGCTGACAGACGCATTCCAAATGAGGACCAAAGTCGAGGAATGCTGCTTACTTTCTCCCTTTCTCTTTATTATGGTGGTCGACTGGATTTTGAAGACCTCCACATCTGACGGGAATCACGGAATACCATGGACAGCTCGGAATCAACAAGAAGATTTGGACCTCTCAGATGACGTATTAATTCTATCCCATCCACATCAGCAAATGCAGGTCAAGACAACCAGTTTAGCAGCAGCCTCTGAATCAGTAGGCTTCAACATACACCAGGGAGAAAGCGAGATCCTCAAATACAACACGATGAACATCAACCCAACCACACTTGATAAAGAAACTTTGGAAGATACGTAAACAACTACGTACCCGGTCAGTTTCATCGATGAACAAGGAGGATCGAACACAGACATAAAGGCGAGAATAGGCAAAGCAAAAGTCTCATTCCTACAACAGAAGAATATACGGAACTCAAAACAACTGTCAGTCAATCAATATCAAAGTCACAATCTTCAATACGAACGTCAAGATAGTTCTACTGTACGGAGCTGAAACGTGGAGAACTACCACAACCATCATCAAGAAGGTACAAGTATTTATCAACAATTGTCTACACAAGATATTTAATGTCCGTTGGTCTGATGGTATCATCAGCAACAACACACATTGAGGAAATCATCAAGCACTAACTTGGAGTCATGAAGTTAAAAGGAGAAGAGGAGGACGAAAGAACACACTGTGTCGAGAATCGGAGGCAGACATGAAAAGGATGAATGACAAATTGACAGAACTGGAAAAGATTGTCCAGAATAAAGTTGGATAAAGAATGCCGGTGGATGACTTATGGTCCTCCACGAAGGGTAACAGGCGTAAGTAAGTAAGTTTTTAATCTACGATTCCTTGTAGAAATTTCCAGTCAAAATAATTATTTATTTCATCACAAAGCAAGAGTTTATTACAAACACTCAGAAGTTTGATTAAATAGAGATCAAAATTTTTTAAATAGTAATGATTTCTTTAGAAGTGTTCATTAGTTAGAACACACAATCATTGTTACAAGTCAGTATTGAACAGATAACTCTATAGGATTATTGCTGATTCCTTCGAATAACACATTAAGTATTAATGGGTGAATTGGTAATGAGTTAGTTAAACCTTTTCAGATTTTGCAAACATTTGTCGTATTCACTCATTATACTTAGTTCACTTTCATCTTGTACTAAAATGTTTTAGATTGTCCGGCATACCACTTGAATTGTAAGCTTTAGAATTACTAGACATCAATCAAATTTAATGTCTCAAATAAGGGAACCAATTGCATGAAATTTAATGTCTCAATATAATCCAGTTTCTATAGGTTATTAATCTCACATAATATAAATATTCTCTCTTTTTTTGTTTAGGTTGAACAAGTTCATAACGAATTATTCTAATGTGAGATTATCTTTTTTAATAACCTGGTGTATATTTTCAATTAATTTTGTCAATATTAATGCCTATCAATCAGATAATTTATTACGAAATCATTGGTTAAGCAATATTCAAGATGATGATCTTAGACAAGCAATAGAACAAGAAAATATTACAGAAGAACAATTAAGAGATCCGCATCAATTTGATCGTTTACTGAAACGTTTAATATTTCTATCACCTAAACATTTACGGAGATTTATGAAACTATTAAGAGAATGGAATAATCTTAGTCAACGTATAAGGTAAGTATTATTGATTGTATTGAAGAAATATGCAAGTTTTCTCACATTATATAATAGAATCTATGCAAATTCTGAATTTTGTTTAGTTTGTTTTACTGTGAATACTGAAGTCACATTATTGATCCTATTTGGTAGAAAGCTATAAAACCAAATTTCATATGTTCAGATATTACTCTCCAGTCCTAAAAAAGTAATTTTCGGAACATTTTGATATAACAATTCTGTGTTGAGAGATCTGAATTCCTATCGAATCATACATCAGTGATTTTGTTCAGAAAAACTATCTAATATCAAACCTAAATTATCTGAAAAATATCTTATAATGATAAGTAAGACATGAACACCGTTGGATGCTGTCTCAATGGTCTAGAGGTCAAGCGACCACGCGCGAGACTAAAAATCTTGGGTTGGGATCCAGAGTGTGCAACCAAGGATGCGCGCTACTGAGGAGTCCCATACTAGGACAAAACAACCGTCCAGTGCTTTCAGATTTTCAATAGTGGTCTAATATTCATCGATTCATGATCTCAATATAACAATCCATAAATCTGCTGTTTTACTTAATTACAAACTCCTTAACTTAATAAGTTCAATTCAGTCTGGATCATGAGTTAAGATGATGGTTATCTGCGTTTACGCATTGATAAAACTTATCAACTGAAAAAAAGATATGAAAGTCAAAAAATGTTACTTAATTTACTTTACCACGCAATATGTGTAGATATATTTAATATTATTTATAAAATCTAATAATCGTTACATTCGTTGGCTAAGTTAACCATTAGTTGTTTTATTGAAATGTTACGTTACCTTTTATTATTGACAATTTTTGAGTATTTCAACATTTTTAACTGCATTTGGTCTAGAAGTTTCTAATGAGATACCTTTCTGCCGTTTCATTTTGAAAAGAATTAAAATATAATAATTTGGTGAGAATCATCTACTTTTTAAGGTAACGATCAAACATAGTTTTTCCAACGAACTGTACTAATTGCCTGTTTTTAATAAAAAGTAAGTATAATTTAGTAGGTTACTTTAAATGGAAGACCAAATTTACGGTATTCAATCACTTGATATCTATTTATTGTCATAAGGATAACTTGCTAGTTGTGAGATCCAAATTCCTCGGGCAATACTGTTCATCGGTGGTAACCATTCATTGCTTACTTCTTCCATGCTCGAACTAAAGTATCGTCCACTTGTTAGTTCTTCAATAGTTCTTCGTTTAATATGGATTAGAGATGCTTTTTTCAGGATGACATAACTTTAAAACTGTCGAACATTTGGAACATTATTTCGTAAAGATGAAAATTCAGCAATAGTCGAAAAGAAAGTATAACTAAATGTCAGCTAAGATTAAATAAAATGAGTAAAAAAATACATTTCTATGCATGTTTTCTTATTTCCTCTAGATTAAAGTGGGGTGGTTTTAACTGTATATATCACAACCGAACGTGTTATCATTCATTTTTAAGCATATCCATTAACGCTATCAATAATCATCAGGTTAAGTTCAAAACCAAAAATAACAAAGTATGATGTTGTTATAACTCGTCTATTCATCATTTATAGGCTGTTATGTATCGATATATTCAAATCGTCGATTGATTGAAGTTAGACATTAACACTGTTGGATCTAGTGATTAAGCACTAGCACGCGAGACTGATAGGTCCTGCGTTGGAATCTCGTGGAACGATGGGATCTTGGATGCGAACTGCTGAGAAGTCCCATACTAGGATGAAACGGCCGTCCAGTGCTTCCAGGTTTTCCATGGTGGTCTAGCTTCAGTTGACTCATGATCTCAACCATGGAAAAGCGTTTCTCACAAACCTACTTACATAAACTTTACTCACTTAAATGCTTCAGTATATTACTTTATTTGAATCATTATTTACCTTTATCATATTTCTAATAATTACATAAATTATGTTGCGTTTTCAGGTACGGATGATTATAAGACTAAACAGATAGACCATTACTTTTCTCATTTTATGGAGGTACTTTTGAAGAAGATACTTTGAACAATAAAATAAAAAATAAAAATTGTATAACTAAACAATCTTGATCGCTAAGAATATAATAGAAATTGTTTTGATGATCAACTATATTTTACTTTGACGCATTTATTATTAGAATGTTTTTATATGCATTGAATATTTATGAGATTTCTAATAGCGTTGACGATAATTTAATTACAAGATGTTTGTTTATCATTTATAACTGCCAATTTCAATGTAAACTTACAAAGCTTCACCAACGCTTATATTTTAGCTAAGAGGACTCTGAAGATCAATTTCATTCGTAGACGAATCCAGGTTGATATTCTCTGAATAAATTGTTATAAGCCAGAGGGCACAGTTGTGACGGGTGGTGTCCGAAAACTGATACTGTTACACAATGTGCTACGCGCTGATCTTCCTCACAACTGACTACTTGGATGAGAACACAAGAGAGAGGGAGAAATTATATTAGGCCACTGAATAAAACAAACAAATATTCATTTATATGTATACATATCTAACCATTAGGAAATTAAAGCATGTTTTAGACAATAAAAAGCATTTGTCTATCAGGTCAGTTCCTACTGTCATTTATTGACCTTCTCGTTATGCTATTTCTGGTTAGCTTACCATATTGTCTTTTCCTCTTGCTTCTTGGATTTAATTAAAGGCGCTGAGCAAAACCTCGTTCACTTGATTATCTTCCTGGGTTGTGGCCACTCCTGATACTCTAAGTCGACTGCATCAATAAGATAATCTAGTTGCAAGTTCGAGCTAAGAGGTTCTTTATCAGCAGGTGAGACACTGTCGGGCAAGGCTGGATTCTGGGTTATTCTGTATGCTCCCCGGAAATTCCGAATGACCTTTTTCATCGTGCACTCCCCTTGTGACTTGATCAGAGCTCATTTTAAACTATCAATAAAACGCTCAGTTTGGTTGTTTGACTGGAGATGGTAGGGTGACTGCCAAAAGTATGAGATTTCGTCCTTCAACGGAAGTTCGAGAAAATTTCCGATGTGAACTGAGGTCCATTATCCGTAACTAGTGTTTCCGGAACACTAAACGTCCCGATGGTCCAAATCAACACCATTATTGTTTATGTCAATGAGGTATGAGGCACCAAATAAATTTCTGGCTACTTTGTAAATAAGCCAATGATAGTAAGAGAGGGTCGATCATTTAATGACCTACCCAAATCAGCATGAACAAGGAACCATTGGCTTTCTTGCACTTAGCCATGGGAATGGCAGTATTTTCGATGGCAGTTTTGCAGCTTGAGCACATTTCGGACATTTCACTACGATGTTTTCAATGTCCTTATCCATTAATGACCATTATAGATAGCCGCATGCCAGTGTCTTCATACGCTGCACTCTTAGGGGACGTGAGTGAATTTGATTCAATACTTAGGATCTAAGGGTGGTTGGAATAACTAGGTGTCCTTCAAACAATTGACATTAATCCGATAGCGTAAAGTTCTGGACCATATTCGCAATGACTGGCAAGGCGTCACTTGCATCCGACATAACCCGTTTTACTTCTGCTAAGTATGATACTTCCACATGGATGCGATCCTCATCAGCTGTTTGGTTTGAGTTGATTAATCTCGATAATGCATCAGCCTGTCCGAAACTGGTCATGGACATTATGACCAAAATGGAATATTGTCCATCCCAGGAGACTGGGATGTCTTTCTTTGAACAGAAAATTAAAAGAAGGGGTTAATGGGTAATTAAGAGAGTGAATTGTCGTCCGTAGATCATCTTATCAAACTTTTTGACTCCGAAAATTGTTGACAGTGCTTCTTTTTCTATTTGACTGTTATTTATTTGAAATAAGATAATATTCTGGATGCATGTGTGATAGACATTTGAGAACCATCTCAGAAAACGTGTGAAATAACAGCTCCGAGCACATGGTTTAATGCATCACAGGCAATTATTATTTCAACGTAGGGGTTCAAATGCATTGGCAGCATATTTAATGACAACATTTTCTAGATGTTATTAAAGCTTTTTTGACACTGATAAGACTGGTGCAATTTCGTTTTTTACTCAGAAGTTAATTTGGAGGCGCACAGTGTTGATGCATAGCTGTAAGAAATTTGGCACGATGGTTTACCAAATCCAAGAATGATCGTAAAGGGTTTAGGCAAGATGGTGGTGGCATTTGCTTTATGGCCTCAATATTCCATGGATCAGGACATTGTTCGTAGTGATCGACAATAAATTCAAGGTGCTTTATTACCATCATGAAGAAGTCACACTTCTATTTAAGTTGGAAACAATAATCTCTAGTACGCATGAAAATGATATCCAGATGTTCAAATAATTCTTGTGTGGTTGTGCTAAAAACGATAATATCATCCATGTAACCCAAAGCACTCGGAACATCCGCAAGTGTTGCATCCATAATTTTCTGGAGTATGACTAGAGCTGATTTGAATCCAAACTGGAGGCGAGTATAGTAATGGTGACCTTGATGTGTACTAACGCTAATCAATTCTCTGAATGCTTCATCAACTTCTGTCTGAAGATATGCATCATCGGGTTCAATCTTTGCGAAACATCATACTCCCTTCATTTTTTCAAAATCATCATTTGGCGTGGGATGTGAATATTGGTGCGTTTCCAGGGAATCGCTTAGTGGATTGAAAAAGTTAGCACATATTCGGATTGAATTACTCTAGTTTTCACTACCACAATTGGTGCACCCATGACGAATACTTAACTGGTTTGTGAACACTCGACACTTCCAATCTATTTAGTTCTTTGTCTACTATAGATTGTGAAGCATAAGGCACTGGGCGTTTTGGTCGAAAAATAGGTTTTAAATTTGCTTTCAGATATATTTGCTCTTTCGCCTGCTTACAGCAACCAAGATCATTTTCCAAAACCTTGGAAAACTTCTGTTTCAGTTTGTCAAACATTTGAGCTGAGTGGGATATTTGATTATAAAAGAGATTAAATGACTGGTCGAACATTTCTAATTCTGTGGTCAAATCAATAAACAATAGATTAAAGGACTCATCAGTAACATAACTTTGGATATAATTATCAGATCATAAAATTGAAAAATACATTCGATAGTTCCAGAAATTTTGATTAGGATGCCCGATGCATTCTTTAAAGCAACCCTTCCCTATGCCCTTCATGTTCAGCTGGTACAACTTTTCGTAGTAGACTTCTAACCTTTGAAGAGCCATCATTTTAAGAAACATCAACTTAAAAATGTCTTCATATCTTTTAAACCATGATTCGAAAGTGATACTGGCATCAGGATCGAAGGGGAGCTCGCTCACTGATCTAATAATTCCTACTTGCTTGCTCACAACTGTTACTCCCAGTGGAGGAAAATAAGTCATCCACCGAAATTCTTGATCCAACTATATCCTTGACAATCCTTTACAGTTCTGGGACTTGCTATTTTATCTTTCTCACGTCTGCTTCTAATTCTCGACTCAGCGTGTTATTCGACCTTCCTTTAGGATTTCATGTTACTTCGTGCTTCGTGATGCAGTTTGGTGATCTCAGTATTCTATGTCCTATGGACTTCCAGATTCTTTTCCTTATTCCCCCTTCAGCTCGAACCTGGTTTGTTTTCTCCCACATTAGGTTGTTACTAATGGTATCATGCCAATCGACGACTTCTGTGAAATCATTTCAACCATTTTCAATTATGACGATTGAGAACCTTTTTCCTGTTGCTGCAACATTCATCTAGGCTGATCTTCTCAAGTTTATTTGTTTTCGCGTGTGCTTGTCAGAAGTAACGAAGTCATATACTGTTATGATGATCGTTGTTCAAATACTGATACTGTTACACGATTTGCTACGTGCTTATCTTCCGCACAACTGACTACTTGGGTTAGAATACAAGAGACAGAGGGAAAGCTTATTGGGCTATCATGTAAAATGCTCATAAAAATATTTATAATCCTATCTCTCGAGAAGTTAACCTACATCTTATTCAACGAGATGTACCAGTCCTACAAGTCACTTTGGAATACCATTTCAAGGTCTCGTAGGGTTACTTGTGACTGGCCTCCTAAATCAGACAGGAAACAATTGTTCTATGGTGAGACGTGTGAGTAACGTGTTCAAACCTAGAGATATCTATAGTGCACAATAGAAAGTAGTTCTTTTTACACAAAACAGGTATTTTATGCTTCTTGATTACCAATAATCCTCAATTAATTCCATTCCGTGACGGATTTCATTATCGAAACAAATACACGATCACAGTTCTGAAGACTAAATTAGGCGGAAATAATTGATAAAAGTGGGCCTCATATATACAAGAAACAACGATGATTACCAAAACTATTAAAGATCCACTTGTGTCGTTGAATGAATCCCCAAAATAAATGGTATTGTAAGTTCACAACATTAATGCTAACTTCATTGGTTTTACTGAACACACCTAGTTGAAGGCCTTCGATCATGTATACGCACTAGATCACGAGTGCGTATGCTGTACTACGAATCCCTTGCAATTGTTATTCGGCTCAGACAAAAGGCTTCTTGACATATCGATAGCTCTCAAGATACATCTTCACACCACTTCATTTCTGACTTTTGAATTGACTGGTGTGGTATATTTCGATTATAAAGGTGCCTTTACACTGATGCTGGTCATTAGCATTTGCTTCATAGCCTCAGAAAACCACATTCAACTTCGGTTTAACAATCGAAACCCTAGCATAATTTATAAACGTTTTGTAAGCGAATTGTGTTCAGTGAGTGGAATTTAATTTTTATTTATAACCAGAAAATGAAGTATAATGAGTTATTAGTGATGGAATGTTACAGACAAATTAAAAATATGGAGCCATTATGATCACATAGACGAAATCAGTCATTTCTTTCTCTCATGCCATTGAAGATAATACTCCATCTGATATTTATGTTATCCTCAACGTTGCTAAGCACAAATTATAATAATTCAGTGT